GCCCGGTGTTTACTTCGCCCAATGTTTTGGTATGTGTGCGTTTGGCATGGCGTGCTGGTAGTGCTGCTCTCCCATCAGCACGCCGTTGATGAAGCGCCGCGCCGATACCCATAAAATACGATGCTAGTCGCCCCGCCACGCCCCGCCACGCCCCGCCGCGCCGGTGCTTGGCCAGGCCGCCAGGCCAGGCCAGGCCTGCAGGCCCCACGGCGGGGCTGGGTGATGCTATCAGCAACCCCACGAGCCGCCTGGCCAGCCCCGCCGATCCGCGCCCGTCCCCCGCGAGCCCGAAGCCTCGCTGGGCTGGCAGACTCACGGCAGGGTCCATGGATGCGCTCGCTCGGGCCTCAACCGAAGTAGGGGGGGGGGGTACCATGGGCTGGTAGGTCGTCGTGCTTGCTGCTCGGGAGCGAGTTTCCATCTCCATCAAACTGCCCCCCCCCCCTCTCCTTCCCATCGGGTAGCATTTTGTTCAAAAGTATGAACCTAACAAGGGAAACGTCCTCCAGTGAAACGCACCAATTTCGCTGGGATGGGTAGACTAGGACTGAAGCCGGTTTTAGCTGACCATTCGAGGTCAGTCAGTCGTTTTGTTTTGGACACTTTTTGGGATGCAAAATGCAAAATCGGACAGTGACCGTCGTCCAGCGTACGTAGCTCCGTGCTGCTTACTTAACTATCACAAAATACTCCAAGAAGATGCAGAACAATCTTCGGTCCTCGGTCCCATAAAAGTTATAAGATTCTAATGTTTAATGTATGCACCATTCAGCAAAACTTCGCCCGATTGTACGAGTCGAAAAACACCTGTTGGAATCAATAAGCAGATCGGAGTTACGCGTGCGCTCACACACACGCATACTCTCGACACTCGATATTGATCTGGCTCAAAAAGCCTATTCGAAGCAGGTTGCAACACTACTACTTGGCACTAATAGTTTACAGTCACAAGGAAGTGCGGTGGTGCTGGGCTGCTGAGGCGGCACTCTGGCGGCTAACCAGCAATCAGATGAAGCCTTCGATTAGTCGTCTCTCTCCCTCCTTTCCCTCCGGCGAGACTCCCCGCAAATGTTCTTATAGCTAACGAAACTAAAATTCGTTTTGCTTTCCGCATATATTTCCATTCAGACTTTAGTATATTTTAGACGGATCCGCGGTTCTCGGGTCATCCGTTTTGTATTATTTCAATTACATTTTATTGTGGATTAAATTGCCGTGTACTGTTCGTGATAAACAAGTCTTATTTATTTCCTGCTTTTGTTCAACTCTGTCCAATGGGTGCTGGGCGCACCGTCTCGGCAGGGATGACGTTCGAAAAGCGGTCCACGGACGCACATCATCATCTTATTACAGTAATAGGGCTGGCGTTTGGGCTCCCAGGACTGTGTGTTCAGCCCGGCCTCCTGCCTGCTGTTCGTTCACCATCCAACTTAGTTATTTTTTTTAAGATCTTTTCGGCAGTGTGGTGGACACTAATCAGATCATCGCTTCTAGACAAGTGAGTGAAACCTGTCATTTTAACTGAACAAAACGTCGTCCCCCTCGGCTGCTCTTGAGAGGAGTTGATTTGGCTGAGGCACGGACGACTGCCTCTTTTTTTTTTTTTTTTCTTGGTTTGGATGGAGAAGGGAAGTTTAGTGAGACTATATATATTATTCTTCTCTCGAAAAGGTTTCAAAAGTATAGGCGCAGGGCGCAGCCCAATGTACACAGTTTCACAGATGAAAATATGAGTTATGCACACATATGTGTACAAAGTACTATAAATATTTAGCCGATGCATATGGGCATATCCGCCTAGGATTATTTTTCATGTTGAAATCAGTTTCGCACGAATTTTTACTTTCACCTCGCGTGTCACGCACACCCCAGACGCACTGTCGCCGGCCGGCGCATGCCCACACGCTCCTGGGGCAGGTTTTGACAGGACTTGGACTTATCGGAGGCGAGAACAATTATGCCTGGTTGAACACGCAGCTGAAGATAAGGCAGACCGTCATTAATTAGTGGGTCGGGCGGACGGCATTACGACGTCTGTGATGGACTGGTCGGCGAGACTGCTCGGGAGGAGACACATGATCGGCGTGTCATTCGGCACACGGTAAAATCAATGTCTGATTGCAAAAGGAAAGCAGAAGTCGTATCGCGCGTGGGGGGCAGGGCGGCAAGTTGTGACCGAAACTTTCTGCCACTGCTGTAGTTAGTGTTCCTTATTTCAGTTTCCTTTTGCGTATGTCGGTTTGTAGCATCGATGTTACACTGGAGGACGCTTGTTGATTTTGCGCAATACGGGCGTTATGACACGTCACGCCGCGCCATCATGACGGCCAGCGAGTTCAGAGAATGTCGTGACATCGTCTGCCGCCGTCCCTTCTGTGTCCGCTTCTCCAAGTCGCTTCCTTAGAGCTGTATTTCTGCAAAAGCATGCTTTGAGGACACGACTATGGTAGGAGTGGTGAGTGGCAAATTGGGTGAAAACTGCTCGTGTGACATTAACATGGTAGAACATCAGCACTTCGAGGGAACCGCGGGTAAATAACAGTTACCTCATTGTAATTACCTTGGTATGAACATTTTTTTTATTTCTTTGGTCGTTTTAACAAGTGAGCTGCTTCTATGGCTAGGCTCTGTTTAAGGGGGGGGGGGGTCAACCGAACGTTTCAGTTACACTTAAAGCCTAAGAGTTTTTATCCATTCCCTAGTAAAACAAGTGTTTAATGTTCCACGCCAATCGATGTTTAAGTTCAAGTGTGCATTTTCTTAACCCATTGAGGTTAAACGTCAATTGGTGTTTAGACTTTCAACACTTTCCGAAAAGTATAGCAGCTGCACACCATATGGTTCCTGTAGATTTCTGTGCGTCCAAGTATGCAGAAATTAAACGTTTACAAATCGTTTAAAAAGTGCACACCAGGCAAGTTGCAACTTGCGTTAAACACCATGTAATGTTTAAAATCATAACTTGCACACGTTGGAGCTCAAATTATGCACACTTGTTTTGCCAGTGTATTTCTTTTTAAAATGAGCTAAGGATGCCACTACGTTTGTGTTGTTGCCACTACCCGGTGCGTCCTGTTCGCAAAACCATCAGTATTATTTCTTGACCCTATAGGCGTTACCGCGCCGTGACTTGGCGGGGC